TGTATGTGTATGTGTATGCATATATATATATAACGTGGATCCTGTAGCATCTGAATCTTTTGTCGCTGAGGGTGCCCTGCGGGCGCTGGAGTATCGCGTGAGCATCTGCCAGCTGGAGGGCCTCGGCCTCAGACCAGCGCGGCGGCGGGTGCAGTTTGTCTGTCCGTTGTTGCTGCTGACTGCTGCTATCCGAGAGCTGAGACACAGTGCTTTTGGTGCATGTTTTTTTTGTTAGCGGAGCGTGAGGCCCGCAGTCGACGTCGCCCTGGGAGGACGCGGCCAGCGCCTCTGCAGGGGGGCCTGGCTGGCGGCCTTTGGGTTTCAGAAGCCGTGAGGTCGTGGCAGGAATCCTCCACGTTCAAGAACCTCCGGAAAAGGCAGATTCGCGAGCACCGGGGGCCCGCCATGCCCCCCCCGCCCCCCCCCATGCCTGCGCCGTAGGTCAAGTTCCCACTTCGTGGGCTCCGCCCGGACCAATGGCAAGCGACTCAGCCTGTGGTGTTTTTCTGCTCCGCAGGCTCTACGAACAGTGCTCAGGTACCAAGTCCGTGTCGATGCACGGTATCCCTGTGTTGGCAAGCGGGCTTTCTCTGACAGCAAGGACCGGGATTTATCAGGGATTTTAATGGGCGCTCCCGTCGCGCCTTTCGTAAAAAAAAGCTCAGGCAGTCTCGGCGGCCTTTCGGACACCCTTGCCACTGCGGCCACCGCTCCAGCCGCTCCCCCTCCGCTTGGATCTCGACGAGGCGTGGAAACGCGGGTTTTTTGGCCTTTTTTGTGGCAAAAATGTGAGCGCAAAATGGCAGAGAGGAGGCACAGGAGGAGGAGGCCGAGGCCGAGGCCCCGGGAAGAGGCTTCCTTTGGGCGGCGAGGCCCTGGGTCTCCGTTTGCGTCGGGACCTCGACACGGCGGCCCGGGCGGGGGCCCCCGCTCCCGTTTCCATACTCCCCTTCTGAAGAAAAAGGTGGAGCACTTTGCGTCCGAGACCTACAAGTTCCAGTACAAGGCCAGGCCGCACCGGCCACCGGATTCCGTGTTGCGAAGTCTACCGCACGAGCGTGGCCGGGAATATGCGCAGGAGGCGGTTCTCAAGGGGCGCTCCGACTTCGAGGGCCGCTGGGCTGGGCCTTGCTGGGCTTTTTCTCTCTCTAGGCCTCACTGTCACGCGAGTCACGCCTCTAAGAACGCATCCTCTTGTCGCCTCTGCGGGCACTGGCTGGGCCCAGGCTGGCAGGAGCCGCTGGTCGTGGAGGCAGCGCAGCCGTGGCCTCGTGTGGGACGCGTGGCGCTTGTTCTAGGCCTAGCTGGAGAGAGAGAGAGAGAGAGAGCTACAGAGAGGCCGTCGCACGCAGAGGCCAAGCGCTCAGGTGATCATGCTTGGCAAGCGCTGCATGGGCTCGGAATTAGAGACTCAGGCGGGCCACGCCATCCTGCGCATCGGCCTTCCAAAAGGCGCTTCTGTTGGAGCCGGCCGTATAGAGCCGCCGTAAAAAAGCACCGCTGGCCGAGAGGCGCTCCGGAGCTCGTGGCCTTGCGGCTGGCTGACAGCGCGAGCGCCGGTTCGTCGCCTTTGCCATTGACTCAGAGTCTCTGTTGAATGCATCCATGCGGCTGTTGTGCAAATTTACGCGCGCCGTCTGAAGCTGCGGGTTCGTAGCGTCCTTGCCGTGGTTTCCTCACGATTTCTGTTGTCGCGAATTTTACTTGGCGTGGCAACCCTTATTATTGAGGAAGGTGGGCAGTCGCACACTTTTGTTTGGCAGTTCTTTGTTCATGCAGGGTTTTCTTCACGGAGTGCTAAACGAAGGGCAGCGCATGGCATATCTGTGAGGTCTGTTGCCGGTCATTTGCGCCTGCACGAGTGCTTATAAAATTGCCTTACGACATGAGCGATGCAAGCCGACTGCTCTTCTCAATGGTGAAGGTGCTCGAAGGCAACAAGTCGGGCTGCAGGAGTTCGCAGCCCGCAGTATAAAGGCAGACGCGAGTAGGGTGGCGTAAACTTTTGCGACTTGCCAGGAGCCTGCCGTGTCGAGAGACGACAGACTTGCTCATGAGATTTCTCTCCCTGACAAGCTCACAACGCCGAGGACGAGGTGAAGAAGATGCTCACTTCTGCCCCGGCGGGCAATACTCACTGGCACATCCTCTGCTGGTGTAACGATATAAGGGAACAACCTCAACTGATGGGCCGCCCCCGTCGTCCACCATCACTTTTTCGTCTTGGACAGATTTCCCAAAGGAACTGAGTCTTCAAACGAGTCCCGACGTCCATCTCCGCACTGGATCCAACGAGGTCTCGGCAACACCCTCCTTCAGAGACTCAGTCACGGGCTCCACCATCCCTGTGGTCACGACCAGTTTTGCCACTCCACATCCTGGAGCTTCTTTGAACGGGGGTTCAAGCTCTGCTTACTACTCGAAGGCTGCTGCGATGTTCGTAATCGGAGCTATGTTTGGGGTGGCATCCGGCCCATCCCCGCATGCGGGAACCTGGACGTCGCCACTTGCATATCTACATGACATCAATCAAAGTCATTTTTGGGATTATCGCAGCTTTTCCTTGTGGTTTGAGTCAATGTCTGGCATTCCGCTTTGTTCAATGAGCTCAGGTGCTGCATGGCTCCATAGGCTGAATTAATAATTTGAATTTGAGTAAGAAGTGCCATATGCATTTGGTGTGGGATGGTATGTCCAACTGTCGTTGCATGCTTGAATCCATCTGATGGCCTGGAAAGTGCCAGGTTGGACTTCGCCCCAGACAGTTACTGTAGCCAAGTACGAAAGCTTTTGATGCTTCGTAATTAGAAGAGATGTGGTAGTGAGCCGCATCATCTGTGCGCCATGAACAGTGAAGTTGCTTCGCAGCGCAACTTAGTTGCGCGCACAACATGTTGGGTCTTGCGGAGTTGTGCAAAGACAAACATTGAGTTCGTGGTCTTTGCTCCTTGGATTGTGCACTTAGTCTCTCAACTCGGAGTGATCTGAGCAAACTCTATCTCTGGCCCAGGCGGCAAAACGCCATAACGTACGTTTCTGCAAGTGTCAAACTGGCGGCAGGCAGTGTTACAAAGTATAGCGCGGTGGGCGGTGGAAGGGGCGCATGGGGCCAGGGGATTCGCCAAAACAGACGAGAAGACGAAGCTTCCTGCGCAACGCACACAATATCTCCAGTTCATGATGTCGGGAGTTCCTCTGTGGAGTCCGGTCTGGAGTGTGAGGCGTTGGAGCGTGACGAGTCCTCCAATCGTCACGCGCGTGGCGCCCCCACTCCTGGCCCGCTGCTTCCCGGACGGAGCGCCGGCGGCTGAGAGCCGCTGCAAGAGCTGCAAAGCGTGGCAACGCGCTCTATATAAAGCTTACACAACATTTATGTTTTGTTGGGATGCTTTTGTTTCGTGCCGCTGTTCTCCCTTTTTGAGGATGCAGCTGCTGCCCAGCATCGGTGGCGGCTTGCAGCTCTCCCTGCGCTTCTTCCTGCAGCCCGGCGGAGGGGCGGCCACGGAGGCCGGCGGACGGGACGGCACCGGTGGGCTCCGAGAGCGCTGCGCTGCCAGGCTCTTTTGCCTTTGCCGGGGGTGTCAGCCCTTCTCCCAGGCCAGGCCCTTTTCGTCGCTTTTCAGCCTGCATGTGCTTTTCATGGCAGGAAAGACGCCTGCAGGAGCCTCTCTTGGCCTTTTCTGAGCTGTCGCTCTCTTTCTGGCGGCCTCCTGGCTGCGACTGTCGCTTTGTCACTTTGTCCAGGGCAAAGTCTCCCGGGCCACCGCTACGTGTCGCAGTGCCAGCTGCGGCTCCGGGTCAAGGGCGAGAGCAAGGATTGGATGCAGTGAGAGTCGAAGTTGGGAAGAGCGAAGCACTCTCTCTGAGCCGAAGGTTCCTGCCGGGAAGGGTCAGAAGCGCCTGAGGCCCAGACGAGAGGACAGAAGCCGCAGTCGCCTTTTTTTCATTTTTGGAGGTCTTTGTTTGGAGCGCGCTGAGGATTTCTGGAGCTCCCGGCACGTGCTCTGCCGCAAGCCTGCCTTCCAAGCCCGGGGGGCCTCCTCCTTGAGCCTTGGCTGCACGAGTCGACTCTGCCAAGGCCCAAGTCTGTCACCATAAACTTTCATGGAAACCTCCTTCAGCTCCAGATCTGCACCGCACCCTCCGGTCCGGTTTTCCGAGATGCGGCCTTGGCCATGTGGCCTTTAAGCGGCATGGCATCGTATCGTGTGTTCGAGTGTTGTTCGATCTTTTACGAGATGATCCTAGGCGTCGGCGACGGATGGCGAGGTCCCCGAAAGCCCCAAGGAGGCAGTGGGGATCGCCCTCTCTCTCTCTCTCTCTCTCTCTCTCTCTCTCTTCAGTTCTCGCTCTCTCTCTCTCTCTCTCTGTCTGTGTCTCCCTTTTGGAAGGGAGGATGAAGAGCTCTCTCTCTCAGTTCTTGGAGGAGTTGATCGCGGGTCTGCTGGGCTGGAGGGGCGTGCGCTACGAATTCCAGGCCCCGGAGCTCAGCCCGAGAGGAGACCGCGTTTGACCGGTCTCCTTTTGGTTGCGTGCAGTTCCTAGAAGTTTCTCTCAAGACTTGGAAAAGCTTCAGCGTCAGCTTCTTCGTCGTGAGGCGGACCTGGCGGAGGCCTCGTTGCGGGAGCTGGTGACGGGCCCCGAGCTCCTCGAGGCGCCTGTGCAGAGCCTGAGCCCCTGAACCCCCCAACTTCAAACGCTTCGAAAAGAGGCTTCTCTGCGAGTGGGCACGGAGCACCGCTGGCCACGGCCCTCGGCAGCTCAGAGCCTACGTGGCTTTGCGGACCTGCCCGCGAGGTCCTCTTGGAGCCCTTGGAGTCCTCCGCAGGCGCTGCCGCTGCCGCTGCCGCGCCCGCCGAGGATCCAGCCGAGAGAGAGAGAGAGCCCAAGGAAACATGTGTAGGTACTAGTTGCATGTTGAGTTCGTGTGGTGCCTTGTTAGAGAGGGGGACGGAGCAGCTGTGGAGTAGCAGAACTGTGAAAGTTGTCAGCAAACTCTGTCCGAGGGGAACATGTAGTATGCAAGGCAGTTGTAGGTTGTACGCTTTGTAGTGTGGTGCCCTGTTTGAAAGGGGGACAGAACAGCTGAAGAGTAGCAGAGCTGTGAATCTGATGCTTGTTGGCACAGAGCCGGTGAGCGCCTCAGAACGGATGAGGCCTGGGGGATGCGTTAGGTTTATGCAGCGGATGCTGCAGGGTAGCTT